AAGTCAGCCGTCTCCCACCGAGACAGGGTGACCCAACAAAGAAAGAAAATCCCCAAAAACAAAATACTTTCATCATCATTCAACACTTTCACCTCACTCACACATAATCACTGTTTCTGCAGAGGTGCTCAGAACACAACAGTTTAGATGCATATACCTAAAGATACACAACATATCCCTCCAAACTGCTAATATCCTGAAACCCCTCCTTTAGAGTGCAGGCATTGTACTTCCCATTTCCAGGACTCAAGTCCGGCTATATAAAAATAACCGGTTTCCCTGAATCCCTTCACGAAATATTACCCTGCTCACACTCCAACAGATCGTCAGGTCCCAAATACCATTTGTCTCCATTCACTCCTATTGAACACGCTCATGCACGCCTGCTGGAAGTCCAAGCCCCTCGCCCACAAAGCCTCCCTCACCCCTTCCTTCCAACCTTTTCGAGGATGACCCCTACCCCGTCTTCCTTCTCCTACCGATTTAAATGCTCTCCATGTCATTCTACTTTGATCCATTCTCTCTAAATGACCAAACCACCTAAACAACCCCTCTTCAGCCCTCTCACTAATACTTTTATTAACTCCACACCTTCTCCTAATTTCCACACTTCGAATTTTCTGCATAATATTTACACCACACACTGCCCTTAAACAGGACATCTCCACTGCCTCCAACCGCCTCCTCGCTGCAGCATTTACAACCCAAGCCTCACACCCACATAAGTGTTGGTATCACTATCCTTTCATACATTCCCTTCTTTGCCTCCATAGATAACGTTTTTTGACTCCACATATACCTCAATGCACCATTCACCTTTTTTCCCTCATCAATTCTATGATTAACCTCATCCTTCATAAATCCATCCGCCGACACGTCAACTCCCAAGTATCTGAAAACATTCACTTTTTCCATACTCCTCCTCCCCAATTTGATATCCAATTTTTCTTTATCTAAATCATTTGATATCCTCATCACCTTACTCTTTTCTACGTTCACTTTCAACTTTCTACCTTTACACACACTCCCAAACTCATCCACTAACCTTTGCAATTTTTCTTTAGAATCTCCCATAAGCACAGTATCATCAGCAAAGAGTAACTGTGTCAATTCCCATTTTGTATTTGATTCCTCATAATTTAATCCCACCCCTCTCCCGAACACCCTAGCATCCTACAATTCTGTCTTATCTCTAATTCTTTCAATAATAACCCTACCGTACACTTTTCCTGGTATACTCAGTAAACTTATTCCTCTATAATTTTTACAATCTCTTTTTTCCCCCTTTCCTTTATATAAAGGGACTATACATGCTCTCTGCCAATCCCTAGGTACCTTCCCCTCTTTCATACATTTATTAAACAAAAGTACCAACCACTCCAACACTATATCCCCCCCCCGTAATGCCTCACGTACCTCCCCCACACTTACATTCTGCTCTTCTTCACTCCTAAACGATGGTATACCTCCCTGGCCAGTGCATGAAATTACCGCCTCCCTTTCTTCCTCAACATTTAAAAGTTCCTCAAAATATTCTCGCCATCTACCTAATACCTCCCTCTCCCCATCTACTAACTCCCCTACTCTGTTTTTAACTGACAAATCCATACGTTCCCTAGGCTTTCTTAACTTGCTTAACTCACTCCAAAATTTTTTCTTATTTTCATTAAAATTTCTTGACAGTGCCTCTCCCACTCTATCATCTGCTCTCCTTTTGTACTCTCTCACCACTCTCTTCACCTTTCTTTTACTCTCCATATACTCTGCTCTTCTTATAACACTTCTGCTTTGTAAAAACCTCTCATAAGCTAACTTTTTCTCTTTTATCACACCCTTTACTTCATCATTCCACCAATCACTCCTCTTTCCTCCTGCACCCACCCTCCTATAACCACAAACTTCTGCCCCACATTCTAATACTGCATTTTTAAAACTCATACAACCCTCTTCAACTCCCCCTCTACTCATCTTTGCACTAGCCCACCTTTCTGCCAATAGTTGCTTATATCTCACCCAAACTTCCTCCTCCCTTAGTTTATACACTTTCACTTCCCTCCTACTTGTTGTTGGCACCTTCCTCTTGTCCCATCTACCTCTTACTCTAACTGTAGCTATAACTAAATAATGATCCGATATATCAGTTGCCCCTCTATAAACATGTACATCCTGGAGCCTACCCATTAACCTTTTATCCACCAATACATAATCTAATAAACTACTTTCATTACGTGCTACATCATACCTTGTATATTAATTTATCCTCTTTTTCATAAAATATATATTACTTATTACCAAATCTCTTTCTACACATAGCTCAATTAAAGGCTCCCCATTTACATTTACCCCTCACCCCAAATGTTACCTACTATTCTCCCTTTTTAAAACCAACTTATTGAAACCCCAACCAAAATTTTTACCTCTCCACTTGTAAAATCTCCCCCACCTTCACTAAACATTAACCCAAAATCCTTCCTCATTCTAACACCAATCTCTCTTCTTATCTTTCACAACATAACCCATTTCAATTCCAATTTTTAAAATTTTTTTCCAAAATCTTTTGAATTTACAAAAATTCCCCTTTTCCGGCCATTTTATTTTTTTCAAAAATTTTGCTACTTCCCTTTTTATTTCTCCTATTTAAAAGGAAAAAAATTATTTTCCCAAAGAAACTTAATTAAAAGCTAAGGGTTTATTAAAAGGACGTATGTTTTCTAATTAATAAATACAATCATCCTTTCTTATTTTTTGGAACAACAAAGACATCAGCTTCCCCTTGTAAACAATTTTCCCCTTTAATTCTTTTAAACCCCTTTCGGGAAAAGGATATCCCCCTTCCCGGGTGGTTGCTTTCCCAATACACCTTACAAAAATTATTATTATTATATATAAAAAAAAAAAATTTTAAAAAAATATAAGATAAACCCCGAAAGAACCTCGAAATGGATAATTAAAGTGTAATGAAAGTGTAGTTTGAAAAGTGAAAGTGGGGTCAAAGGACTAACCTTAAATCTTCCTTATGGAGACAAAAACGGCAGTACTCATAAAAACCTTCCCTTTTGGGTTTTACATACTTCCGGAGGGTCCCCTGGGTTTTTTAAATATATATAATATATAATATATATATATATATATATATATATATAATATATATATATATATATATATATATATAAATATTTTTAATCCTTACAATAAAAAAAAAAAAACCCCAAAAAAATATTTATATATTAAAATTTACAATAATTATATTTTTAAGTTCAAAATAAAATTAAAATAAATATAAATAAAATATTTAAACTATATATTATATATATATATATATAAAAAATATAAAATAATATAATTTTAAAATTTAAAAAAAAAAAATAATATATATATATATAATTTTTAACAAGTCGCCGTCCCCCACCGAGGCGGGGTGACCCAAAAAAAGAAAGAAAATCCCCAAAAAAGAAAATACTTTCATCATCATTCAACACTTTCACCCACTCACACCTTACACTGCTTTTGCAGAGGTGCTCAAAATACAACAGTTTAGAAGCATATACGTATAAAGATACACAACATATCCCTCCAAACTGCCAAATCCCAAACCCCTTTTAAAGTGCAGGCATTGTATTTTCCCATTTCCAGGACTCAAGTCCCGACTATATAAAAAATAACCGGTTTTTCCCTGAATCCCTTCCTAAAAAATTACCCTGCTCACACTCCAGCAGATCGTCAGGTCCCAAGTATCATTCGTCTCCTTTCACTCCTATCTAACATGCTCATGCACGCTTGCTGGAAGTCCAAGCCCCTTGCCCACCAAAACCTCCTTTACCCCCTTTTTCCAACCCTTTCGAGACGACCCCTACCCCTCCTTCCTTCCCCTATAGATTTATATGCTTTCCATGTCATTCTACTTTGATCCATTCTCTCTAAATGATCAAACCACCTCAACAACCCCTCTTCTGCCCTCTGACTAATGCTTTTATTAACTCCACACCTTCTCCTAATTTCCACACTCCGAATTTTCTGCATAATATTTACACCACACATTGCCCTTAGACATACATACATATATATACATACATACATACATACATACCCCACCGAGGCAGGGTGACCCAAAAACAAAGAAAATCCCAAAAAAGAAAATACTTTCATCATCATTCAACACTTTCACCTCACTCATACATATCAGAATTTTTCCTGTACAACTTGTACAACTTGTCAGACACTGCAACATCATGGAATCTTGATTCTGAGGACATGTAGATGACCTTCACGACTACAACAACTACTACTACAACTAACCCATCTCTTTGGGTAGGACCTACTTCCACTGGGGAATCCTGCCTACCAGTGACTATGCCCTCGTCTGCTACCCATCCCATTTCCACCTGACGTTAGTATATAAGCATCAGGCGTCTTACTTCTGCATCAGAATCTCCACGACTACGGTCCTCTTCGCACCTACTCCTAGGTTGAGGGACTGATTACCTCATCTTCTGTACATAGTTCTACTATCTTCAAGTTATGTCCTAGAATTTGTATTGATAAAGCCACTGGATGGCGAAACGTCTACAATAAAGATACCCAGATGTTGCACATGTGTCTTAATTTCATCAGAATTTTTCCTCCATGAGCCATGCGTATCACAAGAGGAAGGGGATAGTAACCCCTTCTCCTGTATATATTACTAAATTTAAAAGGAGAAACTTTTGCTTTTCCTTTTGGGCCACCTTGCCTCAGTTTGATACAGCCAGTTTGTTGAAAAAAAGAAAAAAGATAAAAATAGAGTAATGGTCAGTTGTTAAAATGTGATTATACTATATTTTAATTAAGAGAATGTAATGTTCACTATGAGAGTGTTTACTCTATATGGCTACAGAGTCAAATGAATGTGCATACCAGATGGCAGAAGCAACAAATCTACTAAATATAAATTAAGAAAACTTTTTAGATTTAATTATCAAACTACTGGGTGAGCTTAATTAAAATGAGTTATATGCTATTACCAGTAACTGTGTTCTTAAAGTCTCAACTTCTTCACGCAATTCCCGTATAATCTTGGCATTGGGATCCTCATTGACAACAGCATGATTGACAATTCTCTTCGCACGATCAGCATATCTAAGAGTCGACAAAGTTTCTTCAAAATTATCAGCTGCAGGAGACACTGTAGCAACCATGACAGTACGACTGTTACCTCCAAGGTTATCCTGAAATTTACATGAAAGAAGAAAAGGAAAGTTAATGGTTAACAAGACACTAAACAGTAATACAGGACAGTATTTCTAGTATCTTGAAAATATCTTCATTAAGTATGAAACAATGAATACTGAGATATATACAAGGTCATAACAATAGACACCTGTGCATGCCTCTGATCATTTACTTTTGTAACCTGACTTTTTTATTTACTGCCTGTTCACCCAAGAAGTTTCAGCAATCAGGCCTGTATAGTCATTACAACCTGGCTGATCAAGCAGTTGCTGCTAGAACTTGAGATGATGTTGATTAAGGATCTGAGCTAAGAAATGTTCAGCCCCATAAGTTCTAACTATCCTACTCCTGTTGCAAGTAATTTCTAGCTCACAGAGGCCCATTATGAGCGTACACTCCCTGAATTCCAGCTCCTTGGGTAAATGGATCATCACACTACCCCAGGGGTCTAGCAAGCACGTATACTCTCAAAATTAGGTTCGTACTTCCTTCCCAAATACAGTTCTCGAGGATCATCTGCTGAATATTTTTGAAATTCACATCTGCACCACCATCATGTATGATGGCTCCCACCCAGTGTCACAAGGTAAAAAGAAATAACTAAGTGGTTTGTTGAGACAAAAAATTGAGTTTTTTTTTTTTACAAGTGGTCAAGGAATAGTCCAGACCTATATCTTATTCAGAATGCCTGGAATATCATGAAAAAGAAGATGGAATCCTGCCTGATTTCATCAATCAGGCCTGCAGCAGGAGATCAAGGACAACTGGGTCACCTAGTTATCCAATGATTACTTCAGAAATCTGAGTGAAGCATTCCCAAACAGCTTCAAATGGTTATCAAGGCCAAGGGAAAGATGACAAAATATTAATATAAGTATTACAGTTTTTGTTCTATAGTGTTTATATTATTGCTTCTTAAATGATTTTTGTAAATAATAAAGGGAAGGCCCGGATTAATTTTGCTGGCAGTGTATTTGTGTACGCACTGATATGTGGTTGCAGAGATCGAGTCACAGCTTCCTTCCTTCCTTCCTTCCTCCCTTCCTTCCTTCCCTCCTTCCCTCCCTCCCCCCCTTTTTTTTTTTTTACACAAGGTTTGACAAGGTTAAGGATCCTTAGCTTTATTATAAGACAAGCTATTTACAGGTTAAGGATTCCTAACTTTTTTGACAAGCTAAGAGCTGTTACCTACATCAGCTCATTTGAAAGCCTTTTTATTGTTATGAGACATACAAGTAGGGAACAGGATGAAGTTGAAGCCATCTGTGGGCCAGCATTTCCATTTGATCAACTGACTTTATCTCATTGACATCATAATAATGTACGAATATGTTCCATACTCGAGTCATCCTGGGGACAAATGATCTCAGATGAAGTGATGTTCTGGAGAAGGGTACAGCCAGAGTGAAGTTGCTGCTTTCTGCCCGTCTTGTGGTATTGAGGCTTGCTTCACGCTGTCCTCAAAGTGGATCCAAGTGTGATTCTTTGACAATATTGGCCTTGTATATAACAGTAAGGCAACCCACATCCCTCCTGTGTTGAAGGCTCTGCTGAAATGACAGATCTATCCAGGATTGGTCCAGGCGAGAGATGAGACATCTTGCTCTGTTCTCTACTCTGTCAAGCAGTCGCAGATGAGGGGGGGGGGGGGGGGGGGCAGGCAAACCAAGAAAGTGGAGCATGCTCAAGGTGTGAGCGTACTGGTGCCTCATACAGAATCTTGCAACCCCTACTGTCAAGCAGATGCAAGATACAGTGAAGCGCTGTAAGCATCCTGCTGCCTTGTTTGCAAGATTACAACGTGGTTCTTCATGATCAGTCTGGAGTCAAATTTCACCCCAAGGATATCAACTTCTTCCCCAGATGCCAACACCCTCCCATTCATCCTTACTACTGCACCGGCATTACCATCATGGTGCCTAGAGACGGTAATGCCGGTGCAGTAGTAAGGATGAATAGGAGGGTGTTCTCTCTATCTCTCTCTCTCTCTCTGTGAAAAAAAGAGAAAAAAGAGGAGAGAAAAAGAGAGAAGAGAGGAGACAGACAGACAAACAAAAGGCCCATAAAAATTGAGACAAGATTTATTCAGAGACATCCTGAAGCATCTGAAAATTAGCAAATAAATGTCTCACCTGGACATTAAGAAAACTGTACTTGGGTAAATTATTAAGCCAAGATACAATTCTAGTGTGTACTTTATGCCCATAAAAAATGTTCAGCTCCAGGAGAAGTAAACTCATAATCCAGTCCTGAGCAAGAGAGACTAAGTATTAGGCAGGAGATAGTGAGGGAGACTGTTTTACATAAGAAACAATGATGGAGACTGTGTATTAGGTAAGAGAGTCAGAGGAAGATTGTGTATTAGGTAGGGGACAAAAGGAGACTGTACAGGTCTCCCTCAACATTCGCGAGGGTTAGGGGATCAAGAGCCTTGCAAATGTTGAAAAATCGCGAATGTTTGGTGCCCCAATATATTGTAGGGAAATATAATACAATACTGCTTCCTTAACTTGTTGAACCATGAACAATCATAAAATACATGAAAACATCGTAAATTGTACTAAATACATACATGTTATGCTTTAATAACATGCATGTTATTAAATACCACTGCCTCCACCACTGCCTCCACCAATGCCTCCACCAATGCCTCCACCAATGCCTCCACCAATGCCTCCACCACTTTCTCAACCACTGCAAGTCCCTACTACCCTCCCTCCGACCCCAGCAACTGGCAGCCAGCCCTCCCACCACTGTGTGGTGAGTGTTTTGTTTGTTCATTATTTGCTATTAAACTACAGTATAAATAATGTAAACCCATCCATGACTGCATATTGGAATGGCTATTCAGACAGGTATTGGACGGTGACATCATGTGTTTACTCTTGAACACAGCAAATAATCAAACATTTCTGCTACTGCTAATAATAACAATAGTAATAACAATGATAATAATAATAATAATAATAATAATAATAATAATAATAATAATAATAATAATAATAACAAATACGATAGAATTGAAGAAGGAAATTGTACAAAAATACAAGGGAGTGGTTGACACATCGTCAGTGTGGCTTTGTTTATGCTGGAGTAAACATTAGTCTCCCTGCTCTTCCAAACATTTCACAATAATTCATTGTGTTTGGTGCTTGTAGATTGAGTGCGACTGGAGTGGTAGAGGCAGTGGTTGAGGAAGCGGTTGAGGCAGTGAGGCCTCAACCACTGTGAGGCAGTGGTTGAGGCCTCAACCACTGCCTCAACCGCTGCCTCACCCACTGCCTCAACCGCTGCCTCGCCCACTGCCTCACCCACTGCCTCACCCACTGCCTCAATTGCTGCCTCAACCACTGCCTCTACCATTGCCTCAACTGCTGCCTCAACCGCTGCCTCACCCACTGCCTCACCCACTGCCTCAACCGCTTCCTCAACCACTGCCTTTACCACTCCAGTCGCACTCAATCTACAAGCGCCAAACACAATGAATTATTGTGAAATGTTTGGAAGAGCAGGGAGACTAATGCTCACTCCAGCATAAACAAAGCCACACTGACAATGTGTCAACCACTCCCTCGTATTTTTGTACAATTTCCTTCTTCAATTCTATTGTATTTATTATTATTATTATTATTATTATTATTATTATTATTATTATTATTACTGTTGTTATTATTAGCAGTAGCAGAAATGTTTGATTCTTTGCTGTGTTCAAGAGTAAACACATGATGTCACTGTCCAATACCTGTCTGAATAGCCATTCCAATATGCAGTCATGAATGGGCTTACATTATTTATACTGTAGTTTAATAGCAAATAATGAACAAACAAAACACTCACCACACTGAGTGGTGGGAGGGCTGGCTGCCAGTTGCATGGGTCGGAGGGAGGGTAGTAGGGACTCGCAGGTGGCGGGAAACTTAAATATGATTTGGCGGCTGGGAATTTGGCGGCTGGGAATTTGGTGGTTGGGAATTCATGAATGTGTGAAGCCCGCAGAAGTTGAAAACATGAATGTTGAGGGAGACCTGCATTAGGTAAGAGAAAGAGGGAGACTGTGTATTAGGTAGTAGACAGTGAGAGAGTACATGGTCAAGAGTTTCAATATGGGTGCAATTACTAGGTGGGCATTGGTGCATTGGATACAGTCAAGTGAAACTGTTGTTATTAGACAACAAAATTTTATGTGTAAAAGTAACTTAACCTGACTAACCTTGAGGAGCCAGGTAAGAACAGAGTCTCTATATGGCACAAAGTTATCACCCTTGCCTCTTCCTTTACCAACAGCTTGATCTGCCAACTTGGAAATTACCAACCCTAAAGTTGTTAGTGACCTGAAATTATAGGAATTTGAGTATCAATTACTTTATATTCTTACATATGCAAATACATGTATGAGAATAATCTTACATTTGAGAAACCTAGGACTCACAGTGTCAGGATCTCACATACAAGAATCACAACAATGTTACTATTGTAACCACAAGAAATATGATAGGCTGGATAACTAGAATATTAAAAACAAAAGATGTACAGCCAATGACGATTCTTTTCTCTCTAGGCCTTAATACTGCTGTATACCAATGGCCCACTTTAATGCAGGAGAGATCACAGAGCTGGAAAGTGTACCAAGAATCCTCACTGCCTATAAAACTTCAATTAAGCATCTGAAGTACTGGGAACACTTGAAGCCCCTTCAACTGTACTCTGGAATGCCTATGATGAAGGTACATTACAATTTACACCTGGAAAATTTTGGAAGGACTGATTTCAAACTTGCAAACTGAAATCACTCCATATGAAAGCAAGAGACTTGGCAGATAGTGCAAAATACCTCCAATGAAAAGTAGGGGCATGATGAGTACACTCAATAAGTTTAAGCCCTAGACTCTTCAACACCCTCCATTTATGCATAAGGAGAATTACCAACAAACTCCTGGTTGTCTTCAAGAGAGACCTTAATAAATTACTCAAGTCAGTTCCTGATAAGCTGGGCTGTGGTTGTGATGTAGTTCAGCTGGGCTTGTGAGGTCTCTGGGGAGACCTAATTTACCCAATTATATGGTCACACCTTGCCTTGGCAAACGTCTGTAGCCACGCCCACGTCTGAGGTCTTTTGTTCTTGACGCCTCAGACCTAGGCGTCAGGTCGTACACGTGGTTGTGGAGGGTGCTTGGACCACCATAAAAGCCCAAGGAAGAGCTGAGTAGGGAGATTCGAGCGGAGCTGCTGCTGGGGTGCAGAGTTCCTGAGCAGAGACTTCGAGCGGAGCTGCTGCTGGGGTGCAGGGCTCAGGACAAGGCTGCTGAAGTCTCTGGAGGAGACTGTTGGAGGCATTGGGCAGAGTACTGGCTTGGCGCAGTACTCGTGCTGTGTAGGTCTTGGGACCTGTGGCTTAGTTCCTGTGATGAACTGCCCTCTGAACTATATTGTAAGTTACATTCATTTTGGTCAAGTTGATTGTGTTCCCTGTCTCACTGCTTATGTGTACCACCCCATTTATCTAAACCACAATAATGTTCTGTTCCCAAATATATTATTGTACAAAGACTTGGTGCATACACTGGACTGCATGTAGCTGGTACCAACAGCTTGGTCAATCAAGCCAGCAATAAGGAAGCTTGTTCTGGGATTGAGCTGGCCAGATGTGACCACCCGAAATCTTCTCGAGGTTACCTCAAGGTACAGTATATTATTTCTACTGTTGTACTTTACCCGGGTGTAACTTATATAGAAGAAAGGCTCCTCTCTGGTTGTGAATTCATTACCTCTGTAACTTGCTCAGCTATCAAAACTTTGAGGCCCAGTCCCTGGACCCATTATGTACCTCTGTAATCTTTTGACTACCGCCCACAGGATGGGTATGGGGTGCATAATAAACATATTAAACTAACTCTGGTTCACCTTCTGGTTTATTCATGTAGTGTACAATTTACATTTCAGAAAAATATAATACAATTCAGAACAAAAAATAGTGAGTCATTAGCAAAGATGGAAAACTTTATGAAGAAATTTTTTCATCGCCTTTCAATAATTTCCTTAAATTGCATTGGTTGAAAAGGTATGACCTTAAGTATTGAATGTAATAATTTACTGGTAAATTACCTTGTCAGGGAGAAGGTACTGTAAGCTCTTAAAAAACTGGTACTCCCAGAGCAGCAGCCATGCCAGTCTCTCAAATATGTACTGTTAACCTATACCAAGACACTAAAGTAATAATTATCAAAAAGACCCCAATAACAGAACTCACCTGTAAGACTCCATAAGGGGTTGTATCACCTCTGACCTCAGTTGTGCAGCAAGATGACCAACACTTGCACTTGAGAACTGACCTCATTTGACATGACCAACAAAATGTTGTGTAATTCTCCCCTTGCTCAGGTTACACATGAACTCTTTTTTTTTTTTTTTTTAACAAGTCGGCCGTCTCCCACCGAAGCAGGGTGACCCAAAAAGAAAGAAAATATTTTCATCATCCTTCAACACTTTCACCTCACTCACACATAATCATTGTTTTTGCAGAGGTGCTCAGAATACAACAGTTTAGAAGCATATACGTATAAAGATACACAACATATCCCTCCAAACTGCCATTATCCCAAACCCCTCATTTAAAGTGCAGCCATTGTACTTCCCATTTCCAGGACTCAAGTCCAGTCCAGCTATACAAAATAACTGGTTTCCCTAAATCCCTTCACTAAATATTACCCTGCTCACACTCAAACAGATCGTCAGGTCCCAAATACCATTCGTCTCCATTCACTCCTATCTAACACACTCACGCACACTTGCTGTAAGTCCAAGCCCCTCGCCCACAAAACCTCCTTTACCCCTCCCTCCAACCCTTTCAAGAATGACCCCTACCCCACCTTCCTTCCCCTACAGATTTATACACTCTCCATGTCATTCTACTTCGATCCATTCTCTCTAAATGACCAAACCACCTCAACAACCCCTCTTCAGCCGTCTGACTAATACTTTTTTAACTCCACACCTTCTAATTTCCACACTCCGAATTTTCTGCATAATATTTACACCACACATTGCCCTTAGACAGGACATCTCCACTGCCTCCAACCACCTCCTTGCTGCAGCATTTACAACCCAAGCTTCACACCCATTTAAGAGTGTTGGTACCACTATACTTTCATACATTCCCTTCTTTGCCTCCATAGATAGCGTTCTTCGTCCCCACATATACCTTAATTCACCACTCACCTTTTTTCCCTCATCAATTCTATGATTAACCTCATCTTTCATAAATCCATCCGCTGATATGTCAACTCCCAAATATCTGAAAACATTCACTTCTTCCATACTCCTCCTCCCCAATTTGATATCCAATTTTTCTTTATTTAAATCATTTGATACCCTCATCACCTTACTCTTTTCTATGTTCACTTTCAACTTTCTACCTTAACACACATTCCCAAATTCATCCACTGACCTCTGCAATTTTTCTTTAGAATCATCCATAAGCACAGTACATATCAGCAGCAAAAAGTAACTGTGTCACTTCCCATTTTGTATTTGATTCCCTATAATATAATCCCACCCCTTTCCTGAACACATTAGCATTTACTTCTTTTACAACCCCATTTATAAATATATTAAACTAACATGGTGACATTACACATCCCTGTCTAAGACCTACTTTTGCCGGGAAGTAATCTCCCTCTCCTCTACACACCCTAATCTGAGCCTCACTGTCCTCATAAAAACTCTTTACAGCATTTAGTAACTTACCACCTATTCCATATACTTGCAACATCTGCCACATTGCTCCCCTATCCACTCTATCATATGCCTTTTCTAAATCCATAAATGCAATAAAAACTTCCCTACCTTTATCTAAATACTGTTCACATATATGCTTCAATGTAAATACCTGATCTACACATCCCCTACCTACTCTAAAAACCTCCTTGCTCATCTGCAATCCTACATTCTGTCTTACCTCTAATTCTTTCAATAATAACCCTACTGTACACTTTTCCTGGTATACTCAGTAAACTAGTTCCTCTATAATTTTTACAATCTCTTTTGTCCCCTTTCCCTTTATATAAAGGGACTACACATGCTCTCTGCCAATCCCTAGGTACCTTCCCCTCTTCCATACATTTATTAAACAAAAATACCAACCACTTCAACACTATATCCCCCCCTGCTTTTAACATTTCTGTCATGATCCCGTCAGTGGCAGCTGCTTTACCCCCTTTCATTCTACGTAATGCTTCATGCACCTCCCCCACACTTACATCCTGCTCTTCTTCACTCCTAAAAGATGGTATACCTCCCTGGCCAGTGCATGAAATTACCGCCTCCCTTTCTTCCTCAACATTTAAAAGTTCCTCAAAGTATTCTCACCATCTACTCAATACCTCCATCTCCCCATCTACTAACTCTCCTACTCTGTTTTTAACTGACAAATCCATTTGTTCCATAGGCTTTCTTGTTTAACTCACTCCAAATTTTTTTCTTATTTTCATTAAAATTTCCTGACAGTGCCTCTCCCACTCTATCATCTGCTCTCCTTTTGCACTCTCTCACCACTCTCTTCACCTTTCTTTTACTCTCCATATACTCTACTCTTCTTATAACACTTCTGCTTTTTAAAAACCTCTCATAAGCTATCTTTTTCTCTTTTATCACGACCTTTACTTCATCATTCCACCAATCACTCCTCTTTCCTCCTGCACCCACCCTCCTATAACCACAAACTTCTGCCCCACATTCTAATACTGCATTTTTAAAACTATTCCAACCCTCTTCAGCTCCCCCACTACTCATACTTGCACCAGCCCACCTTTCTGCCAATAGCTGCTTATATCTCACCCCAACTTCCTCTTCTTTTAGTTTATGCACTTTCACCTCTCTCTTACTTGCTATTGCCATTTTCCTTTTGTCCCATCTATCTCTTACTCGAACTGTAGCTACAACTAAATAATGATCCGATATATCTGTTGCCCCTTTATAAACATGTACGTCCTGAAGCCTACCCATCAACCTTATAATCTAACAAACTACTTTCATTACATGCTACATCATACCTTGTATATTTATTTATCCTCTTTTTCATAAAATATGTATTACTTAATTACCAAACCTCTTTCTGCACATAGCTCAATTAAAGGCTCCCCATTTACATTTACCCCTGGCACCCCAAATTTACCTACTACTCCCTCCACAACATTTTTACCCACTTTAGCACTGAAATCTCCAACCACAAGTACTCTCACACTTGGTTCAAAACTCTCCATGCATTCACTCAGCATTTCCCAAAATCTCTCTCTCTCCTTTACACTTCTCTCTTCTCCAGGTACATATATGTTTACTATAATCCACTTTTCACATCCAATCTTTATTTTACTCCACATAATCCTTGAACTAATACATTTATACTCCCTCTTTTCCTGCCATAGCATATCCTTCAACATTATTGCTACTCCTCCTTTAGCTCTAACTCTATTTGAAGCCCCTGACCTAATCCTATTTATTCCTCTCCACTGAAACTCTCCAACCCCCTTCAGCTTTGTTTCACTTAAAGCCAGGACATCCAGCTTCTTCTCATTCTTAACATCCACAATTTATTTTTATTTATTTGTTTATTAATTTGAACATGATACAGAGACGTACAAGGAATACAATTTTTAAAGTGTAGCATGCCAAAGCCCCTTGTATGCTGAGCATTATGGGCAGACTTAAAATTAACTTAAGATTAGCTAAGCAATGATATATTCAGTGGTACAAAAATTATTGTAAAACAGATAACAATTTAGTACAAATGAGTATTACAAAGACAGGTCATATGGTCATTTACTGTGTTGCTGTGTAATCAGTAGAATGGGGTATTCTGTTAGGTAATGAAGTTAAATAGTAACAAAGTTTGATTGGGTCACAGGTTGACATTTATGAGATACAATAATGAGATACATATATGACAAACAATTTATGAGATACAATTATTCAGTATTTATTTAGTTGTTGGTGAGTAAGTGATTTTTGAGAAGAGACTTGAATTTATAAACAGACAGTGTTTCTTTTATATTCACAGGTAATGAGTTGCAGATTTTAGGGCCTTTTATGTGCATTGAGTTTTTGCATAGCGTGAGATGGACACGAGGAACATCAAAGAGTGATCTGTGCCTTGTGTTATGGTCATGTGTTCTGTTGAGGTTGGCAAGGAGATGTTTGAGGTGAGGGTTTATGTTAGAGTTAAGTGTTCTATGTATGCAGTAGGTGCAGTAATAAGTATGGATGTTTTGTATTGTGAGTAGGTTTAGAGTTTTGAATATTGGTGGAGTGTGCTGTCTGTAGTGGGAATTTGTTATCATTCTGGCTGCAGCCTTTTGTTGGGTGATTAGTGGTCTGAGATGGTTTATTGTTGTTGAGCTCCATGCACAAATTCCATAGGTGAGATAGGGGTAAATAAGTGAGTGATATAGGGCCAGGAGGGCTGACTGTGGAACATAGTACCGTATCTTCGATAGTATGCCTATGGTCTTGGAAATTTTTTTGGAAATTTGTTGTATATGTGTTTGAAATTTGAGTCTATTATCAAGGTGGATTCCTAAGAATTTTCCCTCTGTGAGTTTTGTGATAGGTGATCCATTTATCATTATGTTAAGAGACACATCTGTAGCTCTGTTACCAAACTGAATGTAGTAGGCTTTGTCAATGTTTAGAGTAAGTTTGTTGGTCCTCATCCAGGTTGATATTTTCTGTAATTCGGTATTTACAGTATTGGCTAGCATGACTGGGCTCAGGTGAGAGTAGACTTATGTAGTGTCATCTGCAAACAGTGTGGGTTTGAGTAGTTGCTATGCATTTGGTAGGTCATTTACGTATATGAGAAAGAGAAGAGGGCCTAGGACACTTCCCTGTGAGACACCAACTGTAACTGGCTGTGCAGAAGAGTTTGCCCCATTTGTGTACACATATTGGCTTCTGTTGCTGAGGTATGACTTTAGGTAGTTGAGGGAGTGCCCTCTTATACCATAGTGCGACAATTTTATGTGGAGCAAGTCGTGGTCAACTGTATCGAAAGCTTTACATGTGGAGCAAGTCGTGGTCAACTGTATCGAAAGCTTTACCTAAGTCAATGAAGATCCCCAGTGGGACTCTTTTTTCTCTATTGCTGTATAAATATGTTCTAGCATATGGATAATAGCATCATTAGTATTTTTATTAGGCCTGAACCCAAACTGACAGAGGTTGAGTATGTTGTGGGAGATGAGGTAGGAATAGATACGCTTATGGATTAATTTTTCAAAGATTTTAGAGAGAGGGTGTAAGTTGGATATTGGCCTATAGTTATTCAAGTCTGTGTGGTCTCCTCCTTTATGGATCGGGGTGACCCTTGCTATTTTGAGAACTGTAGGAAAGGTAGAGGATTCAATGGATTTGTTAAAGAGTGTTGCAATGATTGGTGATAGCACCTGTGACACTTTTTTGTATATAATGGGTGGTAAGGTATTTAAATCTCCTGTCTTTTTTTTTTAGTTTGTTGATAATAAGGGAGACTTCAGTTGGGTTAGTCGGAGCTAGGAACAGTGTGTTCAGGTAGCTGCCAGTGAGGTAGTCATTGGGTGGGGTATCTGAGCTTGGGATTTTATTGGCAAGGTTTTTTCCTATAGTGGAGAAGAAATTATTGAGTCTGTTTGCTGTTTCAGTAGGTGGGAATTGGGGTTCATCTGGTTTTGTTAATTCAATTTCGCTATTTCGTGTTATCTTGTTTTGTTCCTAGTATTTCTGATAGGGTTTTCCAGGTCTTTTTTATGTCACCTCGTAAGTTGGATAATCTGTTCTCATAATACAATTTTTTAGCCCTTCTTATTAGGCTGGTTAGGATTGACGAGTAACGTTTTGTTTGGTCTCTGGTTATGTGGCCCATTCTGTACTGTTTTTCGTATAGGTGCTTTGTATTTATGGATTTCAGGATACTGGGTGTTAGCCAGGGACTGTTCAGTCTCTTTGCAGTCATCTGTTTAGTTTTTTAGGGCAGTGCTTGTTATAGAGGCATTGGGTCTTTTTTAGAAAATTATTAATACATTCGTCAATATCTGTATAGATTTCTAGCTCAGTGTGCCAGTCAATGTTTGTCACTGCTACTGTGAAGTTATTGATAGCTGCCTCATTGTGAAGTCTGAAAGTGACTTTAGTAGTGTCTAGGGGTAATTTGCCAAGGTTTGTTATGAGGAAGGTAGGGTAATGGTCTGTGGTATTATCTGTGATTATGCCTGATCTTAAGGAGGATATGGTGTTGGTACAATCATCTCTTTCTTATCATTCACACAACATCCACACACATTCAGACATCCCACTTCAAAAATTTTCTTCTTCTCATTCTTTTTAGTAATTATTACAGGAAAAGGGGTTACTAGCCCATTGTTCCCGGCATTTTAGTTGACTTTTACAATACACATGGCTTACGGAAGAAACATTCTTATTTCACTTCCCCATGGATATAAAAGGAAAAGTAATAAGAAATAAGAACTATTAAGATAAAAGCAAAGAAAACTCAGATGAGTATGTATAGATAAACGTGTACATGTATGTGTAGTGTGACCTAAGTGTAAGTAGAAGTAGCAAGACATACCTGTAATCTTGCATATTTATGAGACAGACAAAAGACACCAGCAAACCTACCATCATGTAAAACAATTACAGGCTTTCGTTTTACACTCACTTGGCAGGACGGTAGTACCTCCCTGGGTGGTTGCTGTCTACCAACCTACTACAATATAATACAATTTGTGAAAACTGCATAAAAATATTTATCTGAAAACTAGATCCTCTACTACATGGTGATTTCTTTACATTTATATAGTAATACATGTACAATGAAAGTACAGGTTGACCATCACTAATCCATCAATCACTAATCTGGTTCCATCAGTAATCTGGCACTTATTTCAGCTAGCATAATTTCAAATTTGCAGGGTCAATGCACCAACCTGCTGCTACTGTTTGGTGGTGCTCTATGCTGTATAACTCATTCCAATTTTTTTTCTCCATTTATTGCTATAACCTGCTCACTTTTAGCCCTAGCCATGGTTCCAACGAATAAAGGAAAACCTTCACGTTGTGTAAAGCACAAACACCATATATTGACCATGAAAGATAAGATGGCTTTGAAGCCACTATGGTCCTGTAGTATGACACCATGAGCTCAGCTCACTCAAATAAGCTGTGACCGGTAAATTTGGGCCTACATGAGAGGATAGGTCTGTGGTAAGAATGCACTATATAAAAAAAAAATCCTGCAGCATGCAATGCATGAGAAAAAAAAACTGTGACTGTGTTTTTGGTGTAAAACATCAACTTTACAGTGTATTTTCATATGGTTTTTATGGTTGTATACTCAATCTTTTGGTCTCATCTGGAAGATATATTACAGAAATAGAGATGATTTTTATTGGTTTCAGAATGGAAAGTACCTAAGCCTGCCCATAATGCTCTGCAAACAAGGGGTTTTGGCATGTTACAGTTAACCGCTGTATTTCCTTGTACTTCAATGTATCATGTTCAAATTAATAAATAAATAAAACAAAAAAAATAAATAAATAAAAGTACTAGAAATGTTCGATTTTTTCCGACATTCAAGGGTAAACAAATGACATCACCGTCCAATACATGGCCAACTGGCCAGTCTAATAGGCAGTCATGAATGGGCTGACATTATTTATACAACTGTTACAATAATGCAGTAGTCTGCACAACAGTAAATCTTCTATATTTTGTGAATAAAAATTCAAAATGGAAAACAAGCGCAATATAAGAGGGGCCTGGAGACATGACTAATGAACAGATAAAATGTTATTTTAGTGCCAAGAATGTCTGCAATGTTTATTCTGGACCTAATTTTGAAATTGGCATCTCTTGAAATTTGTGACATTGACCAAATTACCGATTTCTGACCACTTTACTGGATAGTTGAAATAGGTATATGGCCAGTTTCTTGTACTCAATCGACAGAATAGAAGGAATACTAGTGAAGTAACTATGAATTCGGTTGACTGGAATAATGGAATGTGCCAAATATAGGGTGTTAAGTGGGTAAAATCGCTGATGCATAAATATCACCAATAGGTTAAGTGTATTCTAACCTAACCACTCTATAATCCAGCAAAAATCACTAATCCAGCACCCTACAGGTCCCAGTGATACTGGATTAGTGATGGTTAACCTGTACTGCCTTAATTCATATGTGTGTATATACAGATGCATACAATATATTGTGTAGCAAGTGCCTATAAGTTTCATGTCTTACTTATTTATATTTGAGCCCTCCTTTAACCTTTCTCCCACTGCTCCTGTCTTGACTGCTCTCTCTGATCCAGCAAGATCCACTAGGGACATTTTGGATACCTGTAAATAGTTATATATTATGAATATTTAAACTTTTGAAAGTGTAATATTGTGGCAATTCAGATACTTTAAATGGGGAAAACTTTTACTTTTTTATATTATTTTATTTATTTAGATAATGTAATTCTCTTATAAATAAGCATAAACAGTGAGAATAAGTTAAAAAAAATAAATATATATTGAAGTAGAATAAAAAAATTGTCACCTTTTCTCCCGATACACCAGATGCAACATCAGTAACAGTCTGTGTAAGTACCACTGTAAACACTGCATGAGAACGTGAAGACTCGCTGTTCATGTTAGTGGCTGCTACAGTCCTCGCCTTGTTTCCTTCTTCAATCAACTGCTCAATTTCCTATTTAAATCATAATTAATATACTGTAAACTGTTGCCATGAAAGTACATTCTGTATTTAGGTTCTACTAAACCACTTAGGATCTCTAACAATAAATCATTGCAATAATAGCTGTAAATCTGGGGGCAGAAAACTCAAGAGTATTGTAGCTCTGAGACAGGAAACACATAACCTTACAACTGGGTGATTTTTATCAAATCATTAGTTCGAAAGACTCAATCGTCTAGAAGCAACGTATCCTCTAACTGAGTAAAGTCATATATCTTCATTGCATGCAATCATGCTCATACAAAATATTTATTGCACAACTCAAGCATCCCTGTGTCATACTGAGCAAACTCCTGTTCTTTAAATATTCAATGTAAAGATATAACAGCAGAACTTAGAGTTCTATCTGCATAGACTTGTGTGGCACACTCCAGTGATTGTTGTACTCCACTGTATTAACACTGGTATGGCTATACTAGACCTTAAAAAAAATTCTTTCAAAATGGAGAACCACTTTTAACAATTTTTGAATTAAAGTCCATGTCATGTTAGGTTTGATGCCCATACCAGAGCTACTCTGGTATCTAAAGATGGCCACTCTAATACCTAAAAGGCTACCACTATGAAACTCAAAAGATGGCCACTCTGGTACCCCAAGATGGCCACTCTGGTACCCACAATTTGGGCACTCTAGTACCCAAGAGGGAGCAAAGAGCAAATGCCATTATTTCAAAGTACATGTTCAAAGAAGAGGGCAAACTGAGCAAGAAAGTTATAAGGAAGTTAAAAGGAATTCTGACAGGCTTTTATTTCTTAGTGGCTCGTTAGAACCCTAGTATGGAAAGTTTCTTAAAAAAAAGTGGCATACTTTTTTATACAGGTCTCCCTCAACATTCGCATTTTCCTTTTACGCGGGGTTCAAATATTCACAAATTTCCAGCCGCCGAATCATATTTAAAATATGTCATTACATATGATAGGAATTGTAGCGGTGGCAGAGTTTGTTTGGAAATAGGACAAGATAGTCCTTCAATAATACACTAATATCAACTCTACGGCTTTTTTATCTATCACAATTCATCTAATATGACTGACTGACTTACTGAATGACTGACTGACTTACTGAATGACTTACTGACTTGAATGAATAGCTTACTAACTTGACTGAATAACTTAGTAACTTGACTGAATAACTTACTTGACTTACTAACCTGACTGACCGACTTGACTTACTGAATGACTCGACTGAATGATTCAACTGACTGAATGACTTGACTGACTGAATGACTTGACTGACTGACTTACTGACTGACTGACTCACTGAATGGCTTGACAGACTGGATAACTTGACTGACTTACTGAATGACTTGACTGACTTACTGACTGACTTGACTGACTTACTGAATGACTTCACTGACTTACTGACTTGATTGACTGACTGATTTGACTGAATGATGACTTACCGACTTGACTGACTGAATGACTTGACTGAATGATGACTTACTGACTTGACTGACTGAATGACCTGACTTACTGACTGAATGACTTGACTGGCTGACTGACTGAATGACTTGACTGAATGACTTAGTAAGTTTATTCAGGTTTACACAAATACAGTTACATAGATTATCATACATAGCAGCATATGTGTAGAGAACCTAGGATAACCCAAAAAAGTCAGACAGAGTGACTTAAAGTTAGACACTCCAGTACAACCATGGACTTCAGTACCAGAACCTCTACCATCCACCTCAGCCCAGTAGGGCCACAGCATAATTCTCCACTCTCTTCACAATCATCCACAAACACCAGCTCCCACAATTTAACCCTCTGACTGTCGCAAGCCCCTTTCTGAAACTGTCATTCTATGTCGCAAAATATTCGAAAAAAAAAACAAAATTATTTTTTCTTACCAAAATGTTAGGATTATTTTACTGAGTGTTTTAAGCCTAAAAAAAATTTTTTGCCATCAGTACTTACCAAGATACAGAAGCGCAAAGTTGGCAGAAAATGAGCGGCATATGGCAACAGTGGCGAATGCCGCCCACCCAGTATTCTTATATTTACTCCAATTTGAAGGTTTCTTGTATTTTCCAATATTTTTCTTTTCTAAGTAACTTATGTGGCCTGTGAGACCAAAGTAAGGTGCATTGTTCAAATATACACTCATTGTTTACAACACAATATCTGAACAAACATTATCGCTATTAGATTGTGTATAAAACTTGTTTACACAAATACAAAACATTGTTTATTACTATTGTTCCATAATGTATATACATATGTACAGTCACTGAATACTTTCCTAGAACTGCTGCAGCTTGTGGAACTCTTTAAAACATGGGTATATGCAAAGTGGTACTTTACACTCCTCACACACAAACAAGTGTCTCTGCGTGTTTGTGGGCATTTTGTGGTATGTCCACATACAAAACACCTCTTCTGAGCACTTTTCTTAAAAGCAGTAGGAAGCAGTTGTATAGGGTAGTGATCTCCAGGCATCAAACGAGATGGCATGTGTTGGTAATTTTGTGGGTGCTGGTCTATTGCAGGTGTTGCTCCTTGGTACTTGATGATTATTTGTCTGATGACTAACAAACAAAATTCACCATATTTTGGTTTGTTGTTGGTCCTCAACTTGTATATGTTATAAGCATTTAGCATGGAAATGTCAAGAAGATGGAAAAAAAGTTTTATATACCACTTATAACTCTTGCATACACAATCAGCAAACCCAATCTGCATGTCACATTTGTCCACTAAGCGCATATTGAGGTTGTAGTCCATGACAGCTGCAGGTTTTAGAATGGGTTCATTGGTCTCTCTTGTGTGCCTGCCAATGTGTGCCATTTCGTTTCGATGAACTGATGTCAAGAATGTGACATCATGTTTGTCATGCCACTGAAATGCCATGATGATATTGGCAGCAAAGGCCTGCACCTCACCTCTGCGAGTGCCAGCGTCGAACCTTGGCATATGATTACAATTACCACGCACTGTGCCACACACGTCTGTCAGGTTCACTCACAAGAAATCACTGAGTATGGGGTTTATGTACCAGTTATCAGTATATAATATATACCCCTTACCAAGATATGGTTCCATCATTGTTCGAACCACATCATCAGAGATACCCAATAACTTCCTGGTATCTCTCAATGTATTACTGCCAGTGTACACAATGATATCCAAAATGAGACCACTTTTGCAATCATTATTATTTTATTTATTATTATCACACCGGCCGATTCCCACCAAGGCAGGGTGGCCCGAAAAAGAAAAACTTTCACCATCATTCACTCCATCACTGTCTTGCCAGAAGGGTGCTTTACACTACAGTTTTTAAACTGCAACATTAACACCCCTCCTTCAGAGTGCAGGCACTGTACTTCCCATCTCCAGGACTCAAGTCCGGCCTGCCGGTTTCCCTGAATCCCTTCATAAATGTTACTTTGCTCACACTCCAACAGCACGTCAAGTATTAAAAACCATTTGTCTCCTTTCACTCCTATCAAACACGCTCACGCATGCCTGCTGGAAGTCCAAGCCCCTCGACACAAAACCTCCTTTACCCCTCCCTCCAACCCTTCCTAGGCCGACCCCTACCCCGCCTTCCTTCCACTACAGACTGATACACTCTTGAAGTCATTCTGTTTCGCTCCATTCTCTCTACATGTCCGAACCACCTCAACAAACCCTTTCCTCAGCCCTCTGGACAACAGTTTTGGTAATCCCGCACCTCCTCCTAACTTCCAAACTACGAATTCTCTGCATTATATTCACACCACACATTGCCCTCAGACATGACATCTCCACTGCCTCCAGCCTTCTCCTCGCTGCAACATTCATCACCCACGCTTCACACCCATATAAGAGCGTTGGTTTAAAACTATACTCTATACATTCCCTCTTTGCCTCCAAGGACAAAGTTCTTTGTCTCCACAGACTCCTAAGTGCACCACTCACTCTTTTTCCCTCATCATTCTATGATTCACCTCATCTTTCATAGACCCATCCGCTGACACGTCCACTCCCAAATATCTGAATACGTTCACCTCCTCCATACTCTCTCCCTCCAATCTGATATTCAATCTTTCATCACCTAATCTTTTTGTTATCCTCATAACCTTACTCTTTCCTGTATTCACCTTTAATTTTCTTCTTTTGCACACCCTACCAAATTCATCCACCAATTCTCTGCAATTTCTCTTCAGAATCTCCCAAGAGCACAGTGTCATCAGCAAAGAGCAGCTGTGACAACTCCCACTTTGTGTGTGATTCTTTATCTTTTAACTCCACGCCTCTTGCCAAGACCCTCGAAATTTACTTCTCTTAAAAACCCCCATCTATAAATATATTAAAACAACCACGGTGACATCACACATCCTTGTCTAAGGCCTACTTTTACTGGGAAAAAATTTCCCTCTTTCCTACATACTCTAACTTGAGCCTCACTATCCTCGTAAAAACTCTTCACTGCTTTCAGTAACCTACCTCCTACACCCTACACTTGCAACATCTGCCACATTGCCCCCTATCCACCCTGTCATACGCCTTTTCCAAATCCATAAATGCCACAAAGACCTCTTTAGCCTTATCTAAATACTGTTCACTTATATGTTTCACTGTAAACACCTGGTCCAACACCCCCATACCTTTCCTAAAGCCTCCTTGTTCATCTGCTATTTCCTATTCTCCGTCTTACTCTTAATTCTTTCAATTATAACTCTACCATACACTTTACCAGGTACACTCAACAGACTTATTTCCCCCCATAATTTTGCACTCTCTTTTATCCCCTTTGCCTTTATACAAAGGAACTATGCATGCTCTCTGCCAATCCCTAGGTACCTTACCCTCTTCCATACATTTATTAAATAATTGCACCAACCACTCCAAAACTATATCCCCACCTGCTTTTAACATTTCTATCTTTATCCATCAATCCCGGCTGCCTTACCCCTTTCATTTTACCTATGCCTCACAAAACTTCCCCCACACTCACAAACTGG